AATCCTAGCACTCACAAAACAGAGGCAGTAGGGTTGCAGAAGGTTTGAGATCAGCCTGGGCAGCAGTTGTGTAACCCTGTTCCTAAAACAAAAACAAAAATGGATTGGATTTCCTAGCAATACCATGGGAGCATATGAGCCTGACAGAGTAGGTTCAAGATACTCACCTCACCCGGCTGAGTGTGACAGAAGCCAGGATTGAACACAAGGTAAGTGTCACTCCAAATCCCTCTTACCCTCCAGAGCACAAATAAGCAGTCAACTACTGAAATGTTAGGAAGAATAAACTGGCAGCAGTGAGGGGAAGGGAGGAGGGAAGGGAAAACCCAGGTACTAAATCCTGGTAATGCTCCCTTCAAATGTTTCTCCCTTACATTTATTTCACCTTGAACTGGTATACTGGGACAGAGAAGATGCTAAAATTATAGCCTTTCCCCTCACCAATGCCCTCTTCCCCCTACATGCACAGCTAAGAGGGCTGAGAGTGAAATACAGGTGAGTGGAGGACAGACATCAGTGTGGGCTACAGTAAGGTAAGAGGAGCCACATGTGTGCACCTACGGGGCAGAAGACACCTTTCTGGCTTAAGTGGCATGCAGTGAGGGGGGAGGACAGGAGCGGGGGGGGGGGGGTCAGAAGCTAAGTCCTACAGGTGCTGAGAGGGTGACCAGCAAGGAGAGCAGAGGCAGGTAGAGGCAGGCAGAGGCAGGCAGGCCAGGTTTTACAGGGACGTGGGATCAGCTCTAGGGTTCATAACAGAAGTACATGGGAAGACCTAAAGATTCCTGGTACAGGCTTTGAGAAAAACCTTTGTGAATAAGGGACCGGAGGTGTTTTAAAATTATTGAATTTAAAACTTAAGTATATAATACATTTGCATAGTATAAGTATGACAAATCGTCCGCCCACTCCTGTACCTCAACAATTCAGTTCCCTAACTATGGATTAGTTTTTCTCCCCATTCCTCCTACTCTCTTCCTTCTCTATTTTTCCCTTTACCCCCTTTCTTTAGATAGACTCTTTTATGTAGCTCAGGAGGGCCTGGGGCTCACTCTACAGCTCTGGCTTTTCTTAAACACACAACAATCCTCCTGCCTCAGTCTTTGGAGTACTTGGATTACAGGTCTGAGGAGCCATTTCCAGTTTTCCTTTCTCTTTTTTTTTTGCTATTGATTTTATTTTATGTATATGATTATTTTGCCTGCATGTGTGTCTGTGCAGCATGTGCATGTAGTGCCCACAAAGGCCAGAAGAGGGTGTTGGATCCCCTGGAACTGGAGTTACAGATGGTTGTGAGCAGTCATATAAGTGCTGAGAATCAAACCCAGGTCCTCTGGAAGAGCAGTCAGTGCTCTTAACTGCTGAGCCATCTCTCCAGCCCCCTTTTCTTCTTTTTAATACAAATAGTTGCATACTATATATAAATTCTGTACTTCAAAACCCACACTACTGTATTATTTACAATGCTAGCCAAGAAGTGGAGTCAACCTTTGTCTCAGTTTGCTTTCCACTGCTGTGATGAATGCCACGATCCAAAGCAACTCAGGGAAGGAAAAGGTTCATTTCATCTTACACTTCCTGGTCACAATCCTTGATTGAGAGAGGTCAAGGCAGGAATACAAGGAATAACCTGGAGGCAGGAATTGAAGCAGAGACCATGGAGGGGGTGCTGCTTATTGGCTTGTTCTCCATGCCTTGCTCAGCCTGCTTTCTTAATATAACCCAGCACCACCTGCACAGAGTGCAGGCCCTCTGTGCACCACCCACAGTGAGCTGGACCCTCCCACAACAACCAGCAATCAAGAAAATGTCTCATAGACATGCCCACAAGCCAATATGATGGAGATAACAACTGAAAACATTGCTATACAAATACAGTGTAACAGTATTTGACTTTAACAAGAGGAACAAAAGAGATTGGTTGTGTGTGACCACAGGAAGAACCATGAGGACATTGGCTGAGTGAAATGATCCAGTGGAATGATGATGGTAATTAAAGGTGTTGCCCCTCAAGCTGGGCAAGGAACAGGTACACTGTTGTGGCCAGGAGACACTGGAAAGGCAATAGATTGAAGTCTCAGCAGAGTTCAGAGACTCTGAACAAGGTATGGGAGGGAGCAAGTTGGAAGAGCAGAAGCACTGGTCATGGGGGCAGGGCTGGGGGTGCACTGGATCACAAAATGGGGGGGCAGGGCTGGAGGAGAAAGACTCAGGGAACCCAGAGCCATGTGGTTGGAGGACCTTTTAACAGTTGAAATTAAGTGTCAAGTCAGGAGAAACACTGAGAGTCACAAAGAGATGGATGCAACACGACTCTGTTTACATAGTGTCTTAATTGCGGTTTCTATTGCTGTGAAGAGACATCATGACCACAGAAACTCTTATAAAGAAAAACATTTCATTGGGGCTAACTTACAGTTTCAGAGGTTTAGTCCATTACCTTCATGGTGGCATGCAAGCAGACGGGGTGCTGGAAAATGAGCTAAAAGCTCTACATCTTGATCCACAAGTAGCAGAAAGAAGCTGTCTCCTACACTGGGCATAGCTTGAGCATATGAGACCTCAAAGCCAGAGTGACACACTTCCTCCAACAAGGCCACACCTCCTAATAGTGCCACTCCCTATGGGCCAAGCATTCAAACACATGAATCCATGAGGGCCACACCTATTAAAAACACCACACCTAGAGCAGTCAAATTTGTGAAGACAAATTGCGGAATATTGTTTGATGGGTCTGGGGATAGGGACATGGGTGCTCTTGGGTGAATGTAGTTTCAATCATGTTGAGTAGGGGGGACCTGGAAGTGTTTGTGTCTGACAACATTGTACTGTACAGCTAGAAACTCCTGGGGGGGGTGGTGGATGAATTTTATGTGTTTTTTTCAAATAATACTTTAAAGAGTAGTCTGTATTGGTAATTCTTTTGAACAACCTTACAGTATTTCACTGTATAAATATTCCATAATTCATTCATTTATTTCTTGACTGAATAATTTTGTCTCCAGTCTAAATTTTAAAAAGATCAGGTAGGCTTGGTTCTGTATACCTATACTCTTAGCACGGTGGAGGCAAGAGGATCAGGAGTTAAAGGTCATCCTTAAGCTACATAACAAGTTAGAACCCAGCCTGGGCTACATGAGACTCTGCCTGAAAAAAATAAAAATGAAATCTTTTAAAAGTAAATTGTCTATTTATTTATTTTACTTGCATATATGTGGGTCTGTGTGCATGTATGCCACATGTGTGTAGGTGCTTATGAAACACAGAAGGTGTCAGATCCCCTGGAGCTGGAGTTTCAGGCTGTTGCGAGCTGCCTGACTTGGGTGTTGTGAACCAAACTCTGGTCCTCTGGAAGTGTGCTTTTGTAAGCATTAAGCCATCTCTGCAGCCCCCAAAATTAACTTTGCTTGCTGGATTGTACTTCCTTAGTGATTGCACTCACTTCCTTAGTGATTACAACAATCCCGAGTTATGCTCAAGCCCTCTACATAGACTAGTTTGTGTCTCATCTCTGAACCTTTAAAAATTATTTTTTGAGATTACGTATATGTGTGTGTTTGTGTGCGTGTATGTGCACATGGGACTTCAGATACCTACAAAAGGTAGAAGAGGGCATCAGAAAAGGGCATCAAATCCCCCAGAGCTCGGACTATGGGTGGTTGTGAGCTGCCTGACATGGAACTTTTTCAAGGGCCATATGCGCTCTTAACTGCCTCTCCCTGCTCAGGAGGCAATGCACCACTAAGATCAAGGCAGCATCTTAGACTACATGACTCTCTTTCCTCTGAAACCAAGGGCATTTCCTATCATCCTTTACCAGGGGATGTGACCCACAGGTGGACTTCTGTGCAGAAGGTGTTCAAGCATAATACAGTGATAAGACCATTCAATTTAAAACTATTCGAGAAGTTATTGCTAGCCTTGCTTCCCTGGTCCCTGAGAGCTTGCCCATTCATCATGTTCCTCCTTGGAATTCTCCCTTCGCTAGCAACGAGGGAACATTAAATGTAGCAAGGAACATCCAGGTCCTGGCTGTACCAATAGGTTTGAAAGTGCTTACCCTCACTGTCTTAAGTTTCAAATATTCTGAATGCATGATCAGATACATGCGTTTGTGCTTTTTTAGGGGAAGCATATCATGGGTGAGAACTTATTTTCTATTCCTGTGTAGTTTCCAGGACACCAATCACACAGCTAGTACCTGACTTACACCAATTTCGCGACTGGCTGGACCTGGAGAGGACCAGTCTCTGGAAGCACATATGCCCAACTAGCACGAAAGTTTTCTTCCACTTGGAAAGGTCTAAAGGGAAACAAGAACCTCTCCTAAATACCCTTGTGAAAATCCTCTGAGAGTCAGAGGTTCCATACATGTCCGTTTCCCCAGGGCGGTGCCCAATGCCCACTGGCGATTTCCAAAATGATACTCAACTTCTGCGGGCACAGGGCTGACCTTTGGCTAATGGTTGCATGGTAAATGAATGATATACTCAAAACCAAAGCGCCTCCCTCTGAACTCCTCTGCTAAGGAAATAAAGCACCGCAGCTTCTTCCACCCAGCAGACCCACTCGAAATTTCCCCCTCCCCCCATTCACCACTGTCCTATCCTCAGCTCTTGCCTTTGACTTGCAAAGCTGCCAGGGATTCGGGCACTCTTCACACTCTGGCTTCCCCTTGAACCAAGACCCTGACCCAAGTCTGGTTCTCACTGTGGCCTGGCCTCTACGTAGACTTGCCCCCAGCGGGTACCATACAGTTCACCAGGGTTTTGGTTTCCTTGAAGCTCCTCCCAGGCTGTGCTCCAACCTCAGTCACTTTCATCCAGACTCCACCCCTTGCCTCCGCCCTCTGGCTGTGACCCCGCCCACTCACCCTCCCCTGCACCGTCGCCCCACCTTTTTGGCTCTGACTCCGCCCCTCATGCACACGCCCCCCCCATCCTCTCCCCGCCCCCCAGGCTTCAGCCTCTGCTAGCTAGGGGCCACCCACCCACCCTCACCTCGGAGAGCAGCGGGGCTAGGTGCTCCAGAGGTAACGCGGGCAGGTCTCCGCAGAGCACCGCGCCGCGGAGGCTGTGACTTCCTGGAGGCTCTGGCCTGGTGCGCAAGAAAAAAAGCCCCTTGGTGCGAGCCGGGCCGGTCTCCGGTCCTGCGTCCAGGCAGGGTCGTACCACCAGGCCCCCAGGCCCAGGCTGCACCACCAGCAGCGGCCGCGGCTCCGCGGCTGCACCGTGATCCAGGAAGGCTTGCAGCAGCCGCTCCACCTCGGCTGTGCCCGAGCAGCGCTCCCAGGCACCGGCGACTGGACGCAGACTCCGAGTCACGAAAGCCCCCAGGAGCCGCAGCCTCGGGTCGCCGGGCTCCTCATCCCCAGTCTCCACCAGCGCAGCTGGCTCTTCCGCGCCGGGCATCGCTCCTTGCCTGCTGCTGCCGCCGCGTCCGTTTCCCTAGCGACCGGGATGCCAAGCCCTCCCGCCTCTGCTCTCCTTATATTGGGTACTGAACTCTAGCTCCGCCCCATTAAGTTAATAAGGTAGGCAGGGGCTGGGAAGGGGCGGGGTCGCGTCGCTGTTGCTGGGAAACTGGTGGAGGCTCTCCCACTTCCAGGATGGTCTGGTAGACTGGAGGTGTGCAGAAGAAAGCAAGGCAAAGGCTTGCGTGGGATTCCTTTGTCTAAGGTCATATTAAAGTCGTCAGCCGCCTCCATACACAAACAACGTAATTCTCTTACCCTATCCTAAATATATAATTTAAAAAGTTAATCCCAGTGCCAAATCATAATACCACGAATGTAAGGAAGTTGAATGCAATATAAATTTCTTTTTCCAAGGTGATAACTTAAAAGACTTCAGGAGAGTACTATCTGAGAGATTTTTTTTCTTTCAAAGTATAGGCTTACAAGAGACGTGCAGTCTGTTGGTGAGACTCAGGACTTGTTTCATTTAAATTTACAATTAATTAGGTACACATGGCTGGTAACCACTTCGGATGTCTCCACTTCAAACAGATATAATAAATTATTGTAAAAATATTCTGCAGTACCTTGCTCTGCCTACGCTTTCATCTACCAAAAGGGCGACTGTGCTGGGTGATGTGATTCTGTGGGAGTGGCCCCCGGTCAATTCTTATATGTACTAAAGCGCTTGTAAATATGTGGCATGCTAAGCATCCCTTGCTGACCAGGGAAATTATCACTTTTCCCAGGCTCTATTCTTCTGCATGATCAGAATCAACAGCTTGGGCCTTTGCAAGTGATGTGATGTGTGAGTGATGGTGAGGGTGTGTGGATACCAAGGAAATGGACTCTCAGCATGAGGCCAGCAGGTTTGCAAGAATCTCCTCTTTGCACCTCCACGCTGATTGTATTACCTCCCAGGGACCGCAGGGTTTCTTAGTAAAGTGGAGGCTTACAATAGGCTTCAAAGGAATATTAACAGCGTGGCACTTATCAAAGGCAGCTTGGCTTAACAAGACCCCCTCAGGACAACACCAGTGCCTAGAAGCTGAAATGATTGATTTCTCAATAACTGGGACCCAGGGGTTCTGTGATGAAAATGTTTGCATTAGAAAATGGATCTTTATTATGTCTACACAGAATGTTTTATCATTGATGCATTAAACACAAGAGGAGCAATTAGGAAGAAAGGAGCAAAATAGGGTTGATAACTGATATTTCCAAAAAGACATTGCGGAAAATGGAAATGTCAGAGGCTTCTTACATATGCCATAATCCCTTCCTTCCTTTCTTCTACCCTTTCTCTCTTCTTCCCTCCTTCCCATAAGAAGTCCTCATGGCTGTTTTGGATGGCAAATGTCTCCAGTGTGTCAATCTGCTTATGTTTTGTATACAGAGTGAACTCAGGACCATTCACTTTCTGTAAGCCTGTCAAATAAAGTTTGGGCCACCCTCACCCTGGCTCCCCCCACCCCTTTATCTCATTTGCCTCATGCCTCACCTATATAAAAACTGGATGAATGATGGGATGAGGGGGGGATATGTTAGTGGGTAGGAGAACTTGCTTTGCAAGCTTGAGGACTTGAGTTCAACCTCCACCCCTCAAGACCTATGCTAAAAGTTAGGCATAGCCGTAACCCAACACTGGGGGGTCAGGGACAGGTGGATCCTAAGGGCTCACTGGCTACTGAGCCTAGCAGTAAACTTCTGGTCCAATGAGAGATCCTCTATCGAGGAAACGGGGAAGGGGGCCATGGAGAAAGATGCTCCACATCCTGCTCTGACTGGTATGGGGCATGCATGTATATATGAGCATGTATAGGCATGCATGTGCCTAGACATACAGAGAGTGAATGAGTCCCTAAAGATGTCTGCCTGAGGTGAAGTCTCTCAAATGCTGCCATCTGTTTTTCTGTTTCTCTATAACACACCTTCTGTTCATTTTAGGAGTTGATATTTTTTTGGAAATTTTTTATAGGTTTTATTAAAAACAATTGATATTTTCTATATATTGAATAGGTACAACAAGAAATTACCCCAAAACCTAGCAGTTTAAAATCGCAATAAATACTTAATCCTAGGCATTTTACAGAGGGTGAGGATTTTGAAAACAGCTTGCCTAGATGGTTGTGGATGTTTTGGAATGGTGAATGTAAAACCTCATCAGGGCTCCATCAATCATCTGAAAGCTTTGGAGTGTCACCGTCAAGATGGCACACTCTCCAAACAGGCAAATCAGGGTTGACTACTGGCAGGAGGCTATTTTTCAAATTCATGGCCTTTTTTTCTTTAATTGCTGATGTGTGTGTGTGTGTGTATGTGTGTGTGTGTGTGTGTGTGTGTGTGTGTGTGTGTGTGTGTGTGTGTGTGTGTGTGTGTGTGTGTTTATTCCTAGATACATACAACAACCTGCTCAGTCTGCACATTACTTGCCTGTATATATTTTCAGAGATGACCACTTGGTATTGGATAACCAGTTGGTATGCTCTTCTCTGGGGAAGACAGTTTCTATAGCTCTCAGCATTTCTCATTTGCCTTTAGTTCTTTATCTAAGGTTGAGGACGTGTGAGCTTTCCCTCACCCATGTTAGCTTGTCTATTGGTGTTGTCCTTGTCCAGGTATGTATTTTCATTTTTGCCATTCTCATTCAACTTTTTACATGTTTGCATCTATAGTTATATACTGTACAATAAAATAAATAATAACTAAGCATAGCACAGTTGCTCATGCCTATATTCCCAGAACCTTGGAGACTAAGATAATCACAGGCAAGGGCAAGACAAACTTGGGCTATGTAGAAAGGTCCTGTCTCAAATAAATACAAATAAATAAGAAATCAAGTGCGGGGTTCATGCTTGTAACCTCAACACTTAGAGATAGAGGCCAGAGGATCAATAACTCAAGATTATCTTTGGCTGCATAGAGAATTTCAAGCACATTGTGCTACATGAGACTCTATCTCCAAAGACAGGAAGTTCATTCCACTTAATGGAAAGGCTCATCATTTGCATTTGTAAAATTATAATCAAATGTCTTAGAAATGAAACTTCATAATCAAGTGTGTTCCTGGTGGTGTCTTTGTTACCCATCCCAGTAAGGACTGCTTGCTGTGTCTCTTTACAGAGCTTCTTGACTGTCTTCAGCCCAGTTGGCTCTTGACTCATGGGTGGGGAAGCATTTTATCCTGCTGGCTTTATGACAAGCACTTTTCTTTTTTCTCCTTCCACTGTAACCACTTCCCCTTCATCTCCTTGACTTCCTCCCCTGTTCCCGTCCCTTCAACATTAGTGTTGCAGTAACCTGCCTCATCCCCCTCTTCTCAACTTTCACCCTCTTCTTGCATGAACTTGTTTATCCAAAGCAACAATTCTTCCCTTTATGCAAATGGATCACACACATATCCTTATGTCCAGCCCAGATTTGGGTGAGATATTATCTTTTGGGATAACACATCTTATCCCCTCAAACTGTGACAGTAGAGAGGGAAAATTAACTGGATATAGGAAAAGAAAAGGAGCCCTGTTTATATCAGAGATCTGGTTTAAGTCTCTCATAAAAATTTTCCAAACCATTAGCAAAGGGCTATAATCTCTTTTCTGAGAAAATAACATAAATAAGACATGTTTACAGTCAAAATATATGTCTCAAATCCTTTGACTTTTTGACCTATTTTTATCTTATCAGTCTATACAACTATGGTATGAGTTCCATAAACCACATCATATATTAAAGTTGCTTAGATGAAAGTAAGTATGGTGGTTTGAATGAGAATGGTCCCCTATAGGCTCATGTGATTGAATGTTTGGTCCCCAGTTAATGGAACTGTTTGGAAAGATTAGGAGGTATGGCCTTATTGGAGGAAGTGTGTCACTGGGGGTAGCTTTGAGGTTTCAAAAGCCTATACCAGGCCCAGTCTTTCTCTCTGCCTGCTGCCTGCAGATCAGGATGTAAGCTCTGAGTCCCAAGCCTGCCTTCCTGCTCTCATGCTTCCTGCCATGATGATAATGGACTAACCTCTAAAGCCCCCAATTAAATGCTTTCTTATATAAGAGTTATCTTGGTCATGGTGTCTCTGCACAGCAATAAATCAGTAACTAAGACAGAAGTTGATACCAGGGACTGGTATTGGTGTGACAAGCCTGACCGTGCTGTTGTTTGGAGGAATATAGAAGATTTGGGACTGCAGATTGGGGAGCAGTTGAATGTTATAAGCAAGGCTTCATAGTCCATCCTAGAAGGAGCATAGAAGACAGTAGTGTTAAAAGAGCAATGTGGACTGTGGAGGCCTGACTCATTATGTTTCAGAGGGGAAGAATACCAGCAACTGACCTAGAGACCATTCTTCTAAAATTTTGGCAAAGAATGTGGCTGCTTTCTGCCCTTGTCCCAAAAATCTACCTGAGGCTAAATTGAAGAGTTTGAGATTAACGTCATTGGCAGAGGAGATTTCAAGATAACCTAGTATTACTGTGGCATGTGGTCACTAGTGGTCACTCTTATGCAGACCTACATGAAAAGGAGTATGCAGAGCAAAGAGAAATACAATGTACAGTTTGAGGAGAAAAAGAGAACCAGGAAGTGTAATGTTGAAGCCAAGTCCTGTACTCAAGGAGCTCAAATGTTTGAAGAAATGCCTGATTCAAAATGACACAAAGGGAGTAGTGTCCTCAGGGAAAGATCCCACCAGGCTAAGCTTCCTTTATGAAAATAATTAAAGGAAAGCATCAACAACAGAAAGCTTGTACAAATGTAATTCAAGGATGGGGCCCCAGCAAGATTCCAGCCCCAGCAAGCAGAACTTGATAGCTTCTGCCATGTGGTTCTGGCTTTAGAGTCAAGAAGAATACAGGAAATGCAATGTAGAATCATCCTCCATGGTTGAGGAAAGCTACTGAGGCCAGTGGTGTGATAGGAGAGTCCCCGCCTGGAAGCCCAGAGAGGCCATTGCGTGAAGCTATGAAAGCTGGAGTCTATGTTGGACACCCTGAGATGTGGGAGATGCCAGAGCCATGGGATACCTGCCAAGGAGGGCTGCATACTTGGTATGGAATCAGCCTAAGATAGAAGTGTGTTGCAGT